CCGGGGCGCCCGCTGGACAGTGCAGTTGGGAGCCGGGCAGAGCCTTGGCCGGAGCCAGGCCAGGCCGTTGGCGGGGGCAGCGTGGCTGGGGCTGGGGCGAAGCAGACACCCAGGAGGTGAGCCCAGGGGGACGCGTGGGGCCCGGGCCGCGCCCCGGCCTGGCTCTGCGTGAGCAGTGGCAAGACCATGTCTGTTCTTCAAGGTTTGTTTTTATTTACGCACACAGAACTGGGGTGCGGTGAGAGGACGCCCCAGAGACAGCGGGGAGCAGGACAGGCGGGTCGACGAAGCGCACTGCTGAGGGGAGCAGCGGGCGGTCAGGAGGGGTCTGCCGCGCCTGTGGTCACTCCCTGGCCGGGGACCGGACTCGTGCTGCAGCGGCTGTGGCCGGTGTGGCCCCCAAGCAATACCTGCGCCCCCCGCTCAAGCGGGATCCATGGGGGACCCGGGCCACACGCTCCGTCTGGGGAAATGACCCACGTTCCTTTCACCCTGGTTCTACTTGGGCCCGAGCCAGTATGTGCGCTGGCCACTGGCCACATCTGCCTGGCCACGGGACGGCGCTCGCTGCGTGACGGAGACCCCAGCGCTCAGGACGCCCACGGGCCAGGCCGCTCGCAGGCCAAGGCATCTCGCGGAAAACCGGGTCGTGCCCAGTCAGCCGGTGCAGAAAGGGGAACCCGGCGGCCAGCCGCCTGCACCGAGGACGGGGACGGAGCTGGGTGGCTGGACCTGCCCGGGGCGCCTGAGCAGGGGACAGCCGGGCGGCTTTGGGACTCTCAAGGGGCCTCGTGCCCTGGGCGCCGCAGGGGGTGACTCCCGGGGGTCCCTCAGGCGCGGAAGCCTCTTGTGACGGCCCATGTCGGGGCCGGGGCCGCCCCAGATTTCAAACAGCCCTCAGAGCCGCCGGCGGCAGGACGAGAGGACAGTGGGCGCCGCACCCCCGGCCCCGGGCAGGGCCGCGCAGGAGGGAGGGGGCGAGGGGAGCCCCAGGCCTCCCGGCCAGCCCAGGTCAGCCGAGAAGGTAGCTCCTGTGACCGGAGTCATTTCCTCAAGAAAATCGAGAAAAATTCCCTTGTTCCTATGTGGCTCTGTGGACATCACTGGCCGCTAGGCCGCAGGCGGTCAGACCAGCCACAGGAGTCCGGCCAGGGCAGGCCCTCGCCCCCAGGCGCCTCCTGCAGACCCCGGGCTGTGCTCGCTGAGGAGGGGGCGTGGCTGCGGCCACTGAGGGACAGGGGAGGCCGGGGGCAGAGGGAGCGAAAGATGGACGCCGGGACCAGGGCGCTGCGGGTC